TATATATATATATATATAAACATTATAGCAAGAAATGAACGAGAAAACTCCGCTATATCTTATATAATATATTATTCTATATGTAATACATACTTGATAATAGCTGCATCTTTGTGTTACTTCAGTAAAAGATACAACAGGAAGATCATTTCAATCTATTCAATCAATTCTAGGAGAAGATAGCTCGTCGATCACAGATATCGATACCAAAATTATAATACGCGCACAAACAACGGCGTTTAATACATTACGTCGAACGTCTAACGCCGCGAAAAATATTCCGAATACTCGCGATTGTTTTTTTCTGAGCAACTATAGTAAGATATATTTCTGCGTATCAACGTTTCGTCAAAAATACTGAGCAATGAGAAAAAAAACGCTTTCTCAGATACAACGCGATTTCGTAATTAGTCTCGAATTCAAATTCTGTCAGAGCATCATGGCGATTCTTCAAGCCAAAATGTTACATGTTGACGTTTAATAAAACTGCGATATTAGCGCACACCGTAATTGACGATTGACGAAGATGTACATACGTGACAAACGGTCGAATGACGATTCGCGATTGTTTATTCCGCGCAATATTCACTCTTATACAAAAATCGCGAAAAATGTGAACAAATCGGCCGACTCAAATATATTTCCATACATTTATTACCACACGTTTGGCAACTGACCGAGAGCGCGGCTACGGCATTTCAAATCTATCGGCATGGATGAACTTAGCGCCATCTACACGCGAGAGATATAATCTCATCAGTATCTACCAATACCTACCATATCTACCAATACTTATTACATTCAAAATCTTAACTTATTGCACAGATGTCTCTGCTGAAAATTCTCAAAAATCACTAGATGTAATGATAAAGTATCGCAAACTTTCTATTTTGACGCAAAGACGCGGCTATTCTAAATTTATGTATTTGTATAAACATATTTTGTGAAGAAGAATAAAGTCGTGAATTATATAAATTAATTTTTTTTATTTTTATTAATTTTTTTTTATAATCAATTAATTTTATGAATAAAGGAATACAAACGTTACAAATGCTACAAATACTTAATTTATGTGTATGCTTAGTCCATTATACTTTATTTGTCGTTGAAGTTTCAATAAAAATACATGTAAGCGAGGAATATACAGTTTACAATAAAGTTAGTTCACATTATACAAGTAATCATTGAATGATAAAAAATAAATTTTATGAAAGATAAATGTTTACTTCGATTAAAAAATGCATAGAAAATTTTGTATAGGTGAAGATAGCTGCACTTACTGTGGATCCCAGTAAAAAATTGTTTATGCATGAATATGTATAAACATAAACACGGATAAAAATTCATAAACATGTATAATTATATGTGTCCATATATATAATTATGTTCATACATCCTTCTTTCTTTTGTAAAATTACTTTTTAATGTAATAGAAATAATAATAATAATGTGAAAAACATAAAAAATAATTAAAAGGATTATTTCCGCATTGTTTGTTTTAGAAAAAAACGAGTTTGGAAAAATGGAAAAAAATTTGCTCATAATATTATACATAATTTTATATATAATTATACATAAATAATTTTTTTACATTTTTTCAAACTTGATTTTTTTTTAATTAATTATTATTTCAATTATACTAAAAAGTAATTTTACAAAAGAAAAAAGTGAATATGTATGGACATATTTCATATATAATAATACATGTTTATGAATATTTATGCGTGTTTATGTATGTTTATACATATTTATTCATGCATAAAAAATTTTTTATGCATGGGGATGAAATTGTATATTATGTGCACCACTTGATGCAAAATGTTAAGAAAATTAGATATGTTATTGCGTACTTTATCAATATAGGCAACTTTAGCGAATTCGATTAATTTATGTGCTCGCCGATGTTGGCCAAATATTTACGATTTTCCATTGCGATGTTATTTAATGTTACGTTTATTTTTATAAATCATTTTATATGTTCCTTCTCTTACTCTTTATATAAGCGTTTGATTTATCTGCATTATTAAAACGATTATAGATAGATTTCCCGTCGATTGTTACCTTGAGGTGTAACGATATGAAAATTAATTTTATAATAAGTTCATATGCAAATTGTAAACGCCCACATTGTTCATCGAGAGATAATCGGTATTGAAAAGCATTTACTCACCACACCTGAATTATTTTAAATTATAGTGATGTAATGGCAAATTACAGCTATGCAGCTTTCTCACGAATAGTGTGATATCTTTCGCAGTGATTATCACTTTATTAAAGAGTTATCGACACAAATGACAAAATTGTATTTACATCTTAATTTTGTTGATATATCGTTGATATATTTTTTTCAAATGAAAAAATGTACTAATAACATTTACACTTTCTTACTTTAATAAGATTGATGACCAAAACATTTACAATAAATGTAACGTCCAGTACTCTTCTATTTACAAAAAAATCAAGATTTAAAAAAAAATTTACGCTATTATTATACTTTTATTTAGATATTTAACTTGATTATTGCTGGAGAAGATTTTGTATCAATAAATATCTATCTTATTACTCCAAGTATTTATCTGTAATGCACATTTGTATATTTTATATTCAAATTTATCCTTTACAACATATTAATTCTAAAATAATTATAAAATCATTATATCTGGAATAAATTGATTTAATACAAAATATATATAATGTATTATTTGTAACATCCAAAATTTGACCGATCTTGACTTTCTTTATCATATTTAATTCTTTATCATATTTATAAAATGTACTAATAATCGCATTAATACACTGGAAAATTATTAGATATATATATAATAATTTATTATTATATATATATCTAATAATTTTCAGTACATGATAAAGATTGCTATTGCGATAAAGATTTTTTTATAAAATAACGTCTAAGTACAAAGTGTAATAGTAAAGATATGATATACAAACGAGATAAGCAATAAACTTTTCTAATTGGTCTTAATTGTAGCACGCCGCGTGTCGTATGAATCGTCGTGTGGCGAAGATAAACTAGATATGATTTTTTTGCGATATCAATTGACGCATTCGAATAATTTTACACGAATGAATTTGAAAAGAAGAAAACGCGTATTTTACAATTCTATGAATTGTACTACTAGTAGAAAAAAACGAACACACATTCAGAAAAGTTCATTGCTCGCGCTTGTTTATCTCATCTTTATACTATATATCTGAATATTTTTTCATACAAATCTCTATCGCAATAACAATTTTTATTATTGGATAAGATCTCGGGAAAAAATATTTCTTATATAATTATATATAATTAAATATAATTATATAAAAAATTGACATATTTTATATAAAATATGTCCATATGTATAACATTTTTATCCTGGGATTCCAAAAGAGAAATAAATTCTATTTTTCAAATTTTGATTTTTTTTGTAAATTGAAGTGGGCACTGGATGTTACATTTACTACAAATTGTATCAATCTTAAAATAAAAGAATTACAATTATGAAACAAAATTGAAGTAACAGTAAACAAGCACAAAATATAAACATTATAAGAAGACCGTATGTAAATAAATCAAATAAAATAAAGAAGAAAGTAAAGAACGCCGAATGGTTAAAGTTATTTACGAATATATTTAATCAATTTTTTGTCCTAAATGTTTTTTCGCAATAAGTTTCTTTCCGTTTTTAAGGGTTTTATTTAAAAGGGGTTATTAAATGTTTCATAATGATTGTGTTGAAAGACCAACAATTATCGGCGCGCAATCACATTTGGGACAAAAAATTGATTAAATATATTCGTAACATCTAACTTTGATCGTTCAGCGTTCTTTACTTTATATAAGATATTATAGATATTATTAAAAAGAATGAAATATAAATTTATTCAAAACTAATAATAATTTAACTAATAATAACATTGTAATCGCTCGCGTCGGAAACGCACTTTGCGGTAATAAATAAATTTACTTTATACAAGATATAAAGATATTATTAAAAGAATGAAATATAAATTTATTCAAAACTAATAATAATTTAACCAATAATAACACTGTAATCATTCATGTGTCTCGTGTAGGAAACACACTTCGCGGTATAATAAATAAATAAAGTATGACGCGCTTTCTTCTCAATTTCACGTAAAAGCACTTGAAGGCGCGAATCGATCCCATGAAAAGTCATACCGCTTATCTCCGCCGCACGACGATTCATGCGACACGCAGCGTGAGTGAGCGCGCTCGCTCGTCTATGCGTGAGGCAAGAAATAAGCGCGCGAGACGTGTTCGCCTCATCAGTCGATCGCGGTGCGAGCGCTCGAATACGCTCAGGTGTGCATCGTCGCGTGTCGAACTAAAAAATCCGACGTCGGCAGAGTCACGAGCCGCGAGAGAATCGAACGGCCGGTCGGCCGGCGACAACAACCGAGTGATCGTTAAAAATAATTAAAGACAACGTCGACACCTTGTGCCTGTGAGGAGAACGAAGCCGAGACGTCAGAAATGCAATCGCGGATCATCGGTACTTCGTTTGACAGCCAGTCGCCGCCGCATTTCATCGCGAGGATGCTCATTCTCGCGATTGTCTGCGGCGAATTCCTCCTGGGACAAGTCGACGCGCAGTATCATGATGATTCCGATCACATAGTCTTCCCCGGAGCAGTCGGCTCGAGATCGAGGGACAGGACCCTTGATAATGAGAATCCCGCGGGGGATTCAGATGACAGCGATACGGTAAATTGGTACAGATTGACCTCGTCTCTGAATTAAGTAGTCCGCGGTGCTTGAAATTTAAATTTATTTGAATAATATCAGTTTTTTTTTTTTTTTCGGAGCAATCTGCGTCGAAAGATCGAAAAGACAAACGTTGATTACGAATAGAACGATTTCACGTTAACGTATCTAACAATTTTGTCAAATGAAATTAAATCAATAAAAGGATTCAAACAAGAGTAGCATTTTGATGGGACCAAACAGAAAATTTTTAGTTATGATAAATAGATATTTTGACTTCATTAAAATGTCATTTTTGTTGACTCTTTTCTTCATTTAAGGATATTTTCATAATATTTTTCTCAATGTATAGATCTGAAAATTATTTTGTTAGACCATCAAAATAATTAGGCGCTCAAGTCGGTAAAATGTAAACATTTTTTTCAGCATTGCTCATTATGCTTGAATTTCCTATATAATTATTTTGATAGTTCAATAAAGTTATTTTCAAATCTGTATCAAGTTAATTTTTTAGACTTTTACTTTAGTAAAATTTTGTTTTTTGCGTATAGTTTGATATAAATAATATATTTATCATATATCTACAGAATATCATATATCTACTTTTGTTGATTCTCTCGACAAATGATGTCTTATTGTAATCTTCCTAATTCTCTTTTTACTTGATTTTCAAAAATGACGCGTGTTGTAACACTTTCGTTTCTCACTTTCCGCAATGAGACCGAAGGCAATGAGTCGAAGGCTGAATTTGTCAATGTCGAGGATATCTACGAGAGGATGAAATAATCGCAGTGTACGACACGACTTGTAATTCTTGGCACGATGTAAAACGTATCGCACGTCATCTTGCAATTGTGCAAATATCGGATCGATTAGCCTCGGAAGTTCTGCTGCTAGTTTCTTTCAGTGCGCGCATTATTACTAAATCGCGATAAAAAATGCAAGTAATAGTCCGATCCGAGAAATTCTTAAGTTTGTTAACTACATTGAAAGTTGTTCTATAGTTGTTTTTTTATTTCAACTTACTATATTAGTGTACACCAATTGCAGAAAATTTTTCCTTTTTCTCTGTCTATCTTCTCCTTTTTTCTCCTCTCTCTCT